CTCTGGTACCACGTACACTTATGAGCATCCTTATGTTCGAACATGGTGTTTGTTATGGCCAATCCATGACTAGCACAGAAGTCCAGTAACAAACCACCACTCCGGTTCAGATCAGGGGGGCCGTTCCTCCCAATCACGCCCCTCCAAGTGTCTCCATCATTGCCCACATGTGCGTTGAAGTCTCCCAGCAAGATTAAAGAGTCCCCTTCAGGAGCCCCATACAGGACTCTTTCCAGGGTCTCCAAGAAGGCCGTATACTCTGAACTGCTGTTGGGTGCATAAGCACACACAACAGTCAGAGTTTTCCCCCCCATAACCCGCAGGCGTAGGGAGGCGACCCTCTCGTCCACTGGGGTAAACTCCAACAAAGAAGCACCTAACCGGGGACTTGTGAGTATCCCCACACCCGCCCGGCGCCTCACACCTTGAGCAACTCCGGAGAAGAATAGAGTCCAACCCCTATCCAGAAGTAAGGTTCCAGAGCCGACGCTGTGCGTAGAGGTGAGCCCAACCAGATCCAACTGGTAACGCTCCACCTCCCGCACAAGCTCCGGCTCCTTCCCCCCCAGAGAGGTGACGTTCCACGTCCCCAAAGCCAGCTTCTGTCGCCCGGGTCTGGTCCGTCGAGACCCTCCGCTTTCACTGCCACCCTTCTGGCAGCGCACCCGACCCCATTGATGTTTCCCGTAGGTGGTGGGCCCGCGGGACGGAGAAGCGGAGGTGTTGCCCACGTTGCCTTTTCGGGCTGGGCCCGGCCGGGCTCCGTGGCAAGCCCGGCCACCAGACGCTCGCCGACGAGTCCTCCTTCTGGGCCTGGCTCCAGAAGGGGACCCCGGGCTTCCTCCGGGCCGGGTATCCTCACTTCTTGTATCGTCTTTCATGAGGTCTTTTGAAAAAAGGTCTTTGTTTTGTAAAGTCCAAGAGATGAAATGTCTTGTTCACTTTAATACAATGTAAAACCGAGAAGAGCAGGACATCGTCTAAAAACACAATTTAAAGATCTTTTTGAAAGACGATTAACCTAAATTAGAAAAGTGATTATTTCTCTTTATCAACTTGTTGCAGCTCTAAAACATTAGATTAAGTCAAACTAAATTGGATAGTTTTTTGTTATGTTTCCTGTGTGTGTGTGTGTGTGTGTGTCTCACTTGAAACATACCAGTGTATCTGCTGCAGTGTGTCATGATATGAGTGTGTGTTTATAATACTCCTTTTTTATTTTAATGCAAGTTCTCCCCGCCTTCAGAGGACCGAGCGTTGTCAGTTTTATTAGTGTCTCTCAGACGAGGAAAAGCTGTGTGCCCTGCTCCTCATTAGACGCTGATAACACACACACACACACACACACACACACACACACACACACACACACACACGACCTTGGCCTGACAAATGGTAGGAGATCAGTGTGTGTGTGTGTGTGTGGCAGGGGTTAAGGAAAGGCTTTTCAAGTTGTGGAGTCCAAACTATGCCAATGAAAACAGAGTCGGCGTTGGAGCCAGGCAGCTGTCTAAAAATACAGACGCAGACACAATATGGAGGATGATTGCAGCGAGAGTCCTTCACAGAAAGAAACTCCTTTTCGTGCTCGAGTCACGACCAAAAATTCATTTAAACTAGTTAAACACACCAATGGTGATTAAAGCAATCTTCTCTTCGTCTTTATTTGAATCTCTCTGATGTGTGTGCATCTCCACAACTCCTTCTGCTGCGGCATAAGATATAGCTTGATCATTGTTAGCTATTCTTTATTCAGTCCTAGTCATGTCATAAATGTCCCTATTAGTTTCCCTTTATTGTATTTGATCAGCTGTTTTAGTTGACTGAACATCTGGGCATTTTAGTCTTATTGTTAAAGAAAAACCCCTCACTATTTTAGTAGAGCTTCCGTCAATGAAAGGTGGTTTACTCATTAGGTTTACATGTATTATTTCAGCCAAAATATTGTTTAATTCCCAAGATTTGTTGTTGAAAGACAGATTTGAGTAAACATTTAGTAGTTTTTTTAACTAGATTTATTGTCTTTCTTCATCTAGAATATTGCATGATACCAGATAAATGTACTTAAGTACAGTAACAAAGTATTTGTACTCCACTTCTTCCCACCTCTGCATTCAGGACAATAAGGAGCAGCTCCGTTTAGGTTGGAAAATATCTACTTTCTTTGTAGGTGAGACGATCATTACGATGCTCATATTTCCCCGTTGATTGTGAAGCTAAAGTCACGAGTTCATGTGTTTTTTTTTACCTTAAAGACTGGCAGCAAAAGGAGACATTTAACCTGGTTCTGTCCAAACTATTTCTCGGTCCGGTGACTTCCTGGAGTCTCTTCTTGTCTTCAGAGTGATAAGAAGAAAGTCCCTGAACTCGGCCAAGACATGGTTCCAGCACAGGGTCCAACTCTTCATAAGATCACGACTTTCTACATTTCTGATGGTCACAGCTAGTGTTTATATAATAAATAATAAAGCCAGTGGCAACTTGTAATTTTTTCGTTGTTGATGAAGATATTTAGTCGTATTTGATCAAATGAACACTGGTGGCATTGGTTTCATATGAACTCAGTTGCCAGTTCATCAGGTACAGCGAGCTAAAACTAAGTCAAAATACAAGCATCATATCCTCCCTGCACTGCGTGGTTAACACAGTATGATGTTGCCGATAAAAGTATTTCCACCATAAGGCCCATTGTGACGGCGTCAGAGGTTGCGCTAGCCTTTTTCGATGCCCGTCGGCCTTTACACAACTCTGACGATGGGGGGGGGGGGGAAGCATGCTCGTGAACTGTCAACGGGGGGGGGCGTGCTGCACCTCGCGGGAGCGTGCACAGCGTAAAGCCAAAACTCAGACATTTCAATGATTTGTACGGCACAGTTAGGTTTGGAAACGGTATGATTTCCTTTTTGGAGGGCATGCATAACACCGGACTGCTTTCAGATGTGTCCGTCATTGTTAAAACAACGGAAAATATTCGGTTAACGTGACCTCTGCTAGGCGTATACAGAAAATATAATGTATAATGAAGTTAAGTGGAAAAATACAGTTTTCCTAATGTTTGAGGATAAATATAAGTGTTCAAATCTTTTAGTAAGCGGACATAGGTTACGTTTTTTTAACTACATGTATTGTCTTTGTTCATCTATAACATTGCTTATAAAATAAATAATAAAACCATGAAAAAGCCAGTAGAGACTCTTTGTTTAGTCATAATCAGAAACACATTCAATTAAAAAAATGTGTTGATGAAGATATTTAGTTTTAGTTGACAACATTTCATATGAACTCAGTTATCAGTTCATCAGGTACAGCGAGCTAAAACTAAGTCTAATACAACTTGCCTGCACTTTGTGGTTAACACAGTATGAAGTTGCAGATAAGTATTTCCACCAGAAGGCCCCTTGTGGTTAAGCTAATACAGTAAATATAAATTGAAGGATATCTGAAAAATACAGTTTTCCTAAAGTTTGTGGATAAATATAGCTGTTCAAATATGTTAGTAAGCGGACATAGTAGCATAGCCATAGGTAGGGCTGCTCAATTAATCGCAATTACGATTTTGGCTTGCAACGATTATGAAAACAACATAATTGAAATAAAATGATTATTTGTTTTTAAAATTATTTGTTGTATTGGTTTTCCAGGTGAATTATACTTAAAGTTCAGGGTAATCATCATTTTTCTTTCAATAAATGGATGTTTTCAAAGTAAATGGATAATCGTTTTTAATAATCGTGATATCAATTATTGACCCAAATAATCGAGATTATGATTTTTGCTATAATCGAGCAGCCCTAGGTTACTACATTTATTGTCTTTTTTAATCTATAATATTGCTTATAGTGTTTATATATATAATAAAACCATAAGCCAGTAGAGACTCTTTGTTTAGTCATAATCAGAAACACATTCAATTAGATATTTAGTCTTAGTTTTGCAGATAAAAGTATTTCCACCAGAAGGCACCTTGTGGCTATGATAACAGAACATATCAATTGAAGGACAGCTGAAAAAGAAAGTTCCTAAAGTTTGAGTATAAGGAATTGACTGTTATTTTGTATATATTGATTGTTGTGCTTTTATTTAGGTCTTAATGTGTGCATATGTATAAATGTGTCAGGGTTTCCCACACATAGACTATACTTGGGCGGGCCGCCCAGGTATATTAACGGCCGCCCAAGTATATTTCGCGACCCATTTTTTTTATATATATATTTTTTTATAAGTTTTTTTTGTATTTTTTTTTTTTTATTCGTCCGTGACCACGACGCCATCTGCGATCGATTAACTTGTGGACAATGATCCCTCGCTCCCTTGCTCTGATCTCGCCTCGTTAAGTGGCCTGCCTCACACAGGGTGACTGGCTGTCTACATGATGTGGCCTGCCAACATGGCCACTGTCATAGAGATCATAAATCAAAGCCCTTGATTGGTCTCTGTGTGTCATTCAAGCTCGGGATAACCTCAGCTCAGGTGAGGTAAAGGACTCTCTGAGTGAATTGATAGTTAACTTAGTTTAAGTTCTCAGTGGGTCTCAAACAGTGTGGTCACCATTTATGTAAACACATATTTCCATTTGAGAGGGTAGTGATTGATCTAATGGATAGTGAGGTGGGCTGAAGATCGGAAGGCTGTGAGTTCAAATCCCGCCAGGAACACCACCACTAGTGTGCCCTTGAGTGCCATCTTTACGCAAAATGATAACTTTTTTTTTTTTTTTTGCGCACCCCCCCCCCCTCCCGCTGCCACCACCCGCCCAAGTATATTTCAGATCTGTGGGAAACACTGTGTGTCTTTTGATTGTGTTTATATAGGTATATACACATTTGCATACATATAATTATATATGGGATTGTGGGAAACGGTATTTCGATCTCTCCGTCTGTACACAAACTGAAAGATTGACAAAGTTGACTTGGTAACTATAAGTGTTCAAATGTCTGTATAAGCGGACATAGCAGCGTAGCAGTAATGGTGGACTGTGATGGCTGACTCTCACTCACCGCCCCTTCGAAGACGCAGGTGTAGATGTTGTCGGTGCTGCACTGAGGACAGGTGAAGGTGAAACTCTCGCAGTCTTTGTATCGCTCCTCGTCCGTCAGCTGCACCGGAGCTCCCAGCATGCGGTTTGTTTCCTCCTCCCTCTGGAACTGCTGGTGCGCGCGAAACTGACCTGGGTCCAGACCTGGTGTAGAAAAACAAGATGATTCTGGTTTAAAACTCCCTATCGTTTCATCCTGTTGCATTTATATTCAATCTAATATTTAATATTCCATTCCTCACATACTTGTGTATATATAATATCCTGCTTTATGTGTTGTTACTGTACATTTGTAATTCAACATGTATATTTTCTACTTTTTTTGTTACTGTATTATATCATTATAGTGGAATAAAGTGGTCTTAATATGACAATAATAATGTTTATTGCAATTTGTTCTGGGCCAATAATGCTATTTATAATGACATGCCTATCTAACTATCTTTTTAAACAAATTCCTATATATTTTATTATTTATTTTATTCATAATTTACCCTTTTTTTAATGCCATTTAATTTCAATTGAGATGTTTACATTGTTGTTGAATGTGTATTTCTTTAAATTTGTATTGTGCAATGCCATGTCTTTTATGCTGCTGAATAGCTGGAATGCTGTTTGATACTGTTGGTACTCGTAAATGTCGATAGGTATGTGAATGTAGCCCGATGTTCTTTATTGTTTTATGTTCATGTGTACTTGCTGCAGGTCTTGAAAATAGATCAATGATCTCAATGGGACCTACCTGGTTAAATAAAGAATTGAAATGAAATGAAAATCGTATTACTTTAATCTACGATAATTAGAGGAGTTGCTGGGACAGAGCAGACAAAATACTTTGGAAGTTTTCCATCTGTTCCTGCTTTCAGTCAACACTGAAACATCTACTTTGTACCTTTATGAGTCTGTTGTGATATCAGTTGTGACAGCTTTTCTATGTTCGGCTGCCTCAGCTGTCAACGGGCTATAAAACGGGAATTTTGACTAATGCTAACACATACATAAAGAGAGATTAGGACCATCACTCAGAGTAAGCCGTGCCCCACAAATACTTCAGGGCCAGTGTTTATTTTTAAAAAGGTCTGCAGGTAGGTCGGCACAATGATGACGTTACACTTATCCTATGAAATATGGACGTGACCGCCATAATTTTTAGTTGACCTCCATATTGTTGTGTTAAAGGTCCCATGTCATGGCCATTTCCACTGATCATAACTCCATTGTTGAGGTCTACTAGAATACATTTATATTGTGCAATTTTCCAAACTCACATTGTTTCGCATACAGCATCTCTGTAAACTACGTGTATTCACTCTCTCCACTAAACGGCTCGTTGCAGCTCTTGCCCCCCCCCCCCCTCCCTGTGAGCCCAGTGTGCTCCGATTGGTCGGGAGCAGTCGGGACGTTGTGAATCGCGCTGAGCTCCGTGGAGGTGTGGTTTCCTTGTTTAGCGATACACAGCGAAACACAGCCAAACTCATCCTGAGCACACACAAAGTCACAGCCGAAGTAAAAACAATAAGTGTGGCTTGATATTGAGTCAGAAAAAGGTTGATAAACGCTGTGAGAATGGGGTCTGCAGAGAGAATGGGTCTGCAGAGAGAACGGGTCTGCAGAGAGAACGGGTCTGCGGAGAGAACGGGTCTGCGGAGAGAACGGGTCTGCGGAGAGAACGGGTCTGCGGTGAGAACGGGTCTGCGGAGAGAACGGGTCTGCGGAGAGAACGGGTCTGCGGAGAGAACGGGTCTGCGGAGAGAACGGGTCTGCGGAGAGAACGGGTCTGCGGAGAGAACTGGTCTGCGGAGAGAGAACGGTCTGCGGAGAGAACGGGTCTGCGGAGAGAACGGGTCTGCGGAAGAACGGGTCTGCGAGAGAACGGGTCTGCGGAGAGAACGGGTCTGCGGAGAGAACGGGTCTGCGGAGAGAACGGGTCTGCGGAGAGAACGGGTCTGCGGAGAGAACGGGTCTGCGGAGAGAACGGGTCTGTAGAGAGAGAATGGGTCTGTAGAGAGAACGGGTCTGTAGAGAGAACGGGTCTGCAGAGAGAACGGGTCTGCAGAGAGAGAATGGGTCTGTAGAGAGAACGGGTCTGCAGAGAGAATGGGTCTGTAGAGAGAACGGGTCTGTAGAGAGAATGGGTCTGCAGAGAGAGAATGGGTCTGTAGAGAGAATGGGTCTGTAGAGAGAACGGGTCTGTAGAGAGAATGGGTCTGCAGAGAGAATGGGTCTGTAGAGAGAGAATGGGTCTGTAGAGAGAACGGGTCTGCAGAGAGAATGGGTCTGCAGAGAGAGAATGGGTCTGCAGAGAGAACGGGTCTGTAGAGAGAATGGGTCTGCAGAGAGAATGGGTCTGCAGAGAGAGAATGGGTCTGCAGAGAGAAGGGGTCTGCAGAGAGAAGGGGTCTGCAGAGAGAATGGGTCTGCAGAGAGAAGGGGTCTGCAGAGAGAATGGGTCTGCAGAGAGAATGGGTCTGCAGAGAGAAGGGGTCTGCAGAGAGAAGGGGTCTGCAGAGAGAATGGGTCTGCAGAGAGAATTTCGCCGCGATCCCAACTGTCTGTTATCAGCCAGCGAGGAGAGATCAGCAGAGCTGCCTGCACTGAGTGTGTGAGGAAGTCCGTGGATTGGTCAATTTGGACCAATCAGCGGGGGCTTAACGTAACGGCTCCGCGGACGTAACATAACGGCTCCACGGATTGGTCCATTTCGTTCCGGGTACGACATGACATCAGATGTCCCCGGAAGAATCAAATGGATGATGACGTTTCACCAACGAGGCGTTTTGGGGAGGTATTTTCTGTGTTAGAGTTTTACTCGCTACATGGTGTACTTTGAGGGTTTTGACTCTGCACACCGTTTACATGCATAAAAACCTTCATAACACACAAGGGGACGGGTACTAACCGGAAAAGCATGACATGTGACCTTTAACATCAAGCCCCCAGGAAGTGCGCCGGACTCTGATGAAAATATTCGTTGTGTCCAAACGGCAGTACTACAATTTCCCTATCAGTCCGTGACGTCACCCGGCCCAGAAAGACTTTTCCCCATTGACTGACATGGGGAAAGAGACGTCTGTAAATCAACTAAATAAAACTACCCAGTATGAACTATTGTATAGCCCTTATTATAATCATTCGGTCCTTAAAATAGTAAAATGCACTAAAATCTAGATTTATTTTCTGTCTCCATTCATTCTACTGAGCAGAGTGGGAGCTCGGGGGGCGGGGCTTAAGGGGCGCATGCTCTGTGAGCGTACATACGGGTTCTTCTGTTCTCCCGCGCTGTATCCAGTTCTTATTATACATCCATGGGTAACATGGGTGTTCTTCAGTACAGTTTTTACCAACATGATGCAGAAAAACAGCAAGGCTTTGTTGACAGAGCGAGAAAACACTTTAATTAGTTTTATTTGTGTATTTTTCTCTTTTGTTTTAGACATTTTTATTTTAGATGTTTTATTTTTCATACTCCACTGTCTAAATATTCTTGAGAAATAAAAGCTACTGCCCTTTGAAAGACTCACAGGTATTATATCATTATAACAGTGGAATAACGTGGTCTTAATATGACAATAATAATGTTTATTGCATTTCTGGGTCAATAATGCTATTTATAAAGACATGCCTATATCCGAATTAACCCATTAAAAACATTGAACCTACTACATTTGAATTAAACTCTTTGATCAAACATTTGACTTATTTTTTAAACTAATTTCTGTAATAAAATAATTGAACACGAGAGAGACATAGGGTTGCCTCCTCTCAAAGAATCCATTAACCACTCAAATTATTTGAAGTGAATATTTCACACATTTTTAACACATTTCTGTAATTTCTTTTTCTATTTGAAAAGACACAAGTTTCATATATTTCAACTAAGTACTTCAATGTATACAATATAAATAAATGTAAGGGGAAGAACAAAAAGTTTAATACAAGCTATATGTTCACAATTCCAGCATGGCTGAAACAATAAGCGACCTTAAATAATAAAAAGATAAATAATTAAAAATACCTATATAGTAAAAATCCAACATGATTGAGTGGTTTACCGTTTCGATCCTTTACTGCTGTTTCACATATATATGTTAATTGCTATTATACAAACTGCTTGACTTGTAGTCATTCTTCCCAAGTCATAATTGAGTGACATCGGCCCTCCCTCTCAATAAAACGAAAGTCTCCTAAAGTAGAGGGGTATCTCACCGAGCAACGTGGCGATGAGCACATATTTAGATGTCAGTCATCGATCAGCAAAATGACCAAATGACAAAACATGTAGTTTATAGTCACACTAAATATGCCGTAAGGACTTTTATTTAAACATATCCTAATGCATACCTTGTAAAGCAATCATCATGGAAGAGTAAACAACTGTGAAAAAAACTCATTTTTACATGATCTGTGTTTCTTGACATACATAAGAACTGAAATGGGTCAAACAGTGCAGTCAACCAAGAACCTTTAAGGAAAATATACATATAATAATATAATAACAATAGTATTTAGGGATGCTCCGATCGATCGGTCACCGATCGAGATCGGCCGATACTCACTCTCTACCGATCGATCGGTGCTCTCTAAACATGCCGATCGCATGACGTAGAATACATGACACTTTTCTCTGTGTGCGGCAAAACAAGCTCGCCAACACGGCTTCACCGGTCTGGCATTATTTTAAGGTGTCCGAAAAAGACAGTAAAATATCGGTATGCAACGTGAAGCAGAAATCCTGCAGCTCCGCCCGCCGGACCGGTGAGCGAAACACACAAGAGTTAGACCTAACACACTTAGCTATTTCATCTACCTCTGGAACAAGCTAAACTAGTTATAAAGATATTTATTCTTCACTGTCGGGTCACTCATTACTGGATCAGTGAGCTGCATGAAATACTGACAGGCTGTCAGGAGGGGGGGAGATAGGGAGAGAGGGGGAGAGAGAGAGGGAGAGAGAAAAATTGAGCGCTTCCGCTCGTTTCTCCCGTGTTATTCTCCAAAGTGAATGTAAACTTGAATAATGTACTTCATTTGAATGTAATAATTAAGTTGATTGTTGTTTGTGGAAGCTCCAGAGAATGAGCATTAACTGAGTTTTAAACATCACTTTAAAAGGAAGATTTAAGTGATGTTTAAATCTTCCATTTAGGCCCCGCCCACTCGATCGGATCAGCGATCGCTATCGGCCGATACTGATTCCAGCGATCGGTGATCGGCCCCGAAATTGGCGATCGGAGCATCCCTGATAGTATTATAGTGTATTGAGTGTATGTATAGTGTATATAATGCAACATCCAGAATGGAACAAATGCTTTATATACTTCTTCGTTATTGTATAATACAAAATAAATACAATATTCAAAGCAAATTGATATTCCGAAAGTTGCATAATTAGCTTTTTGGAAAGTTCTCTTTGTCCCAAATATCTCCTGACTTTAAACACATCAGTTTGATCCTCGTGTTTGTAACTCTATCAAACTAAAGTAGAGGGTATCTCACCGAGCCAGGTGGCGATGAGCACGCCGTCGATGCCCTCGATGGGGTCACAGATGCGGGACACCACGGGGTGAACCTGCTGGGCGAGGTAGTACTGGACGTCCAGACTGAGACCTTCCTGCTTCTGAAGCTGCTCCAGAGCGTACGCCCTCTGACTGGCCGCCAGCGTGGAGCCGTCCTGAAGGGGGACAGAAGGTTTTACTACAGGGTTTACTCAAAATCCATCTTTGTGTCAACATGCTGATTTCAATCGCCTGCTAATCTTAAGGACATGGACAGCTGTCTAAGGATTCAAACATGTTGATCTTGTGCTAACCTTCTTTCAATGAAGGGTGTCGTCTTTTTGAACTAGAAGCAAGACAACCACTTTGTACTTCTTTCAAATGTATCTTGTTTTAATATATTTTTAAATAACTTCATATTTTTCCCTCTGCTCCACACACCTTGCAGATGATGTAGGAGACGGTATCTCCGGCTTTGACCCGGTGACCCCCCTGAGAGTTGATCCACAGAGCGACGTGCACGTGAGGGAGGCTCTTCTTATCCGGGTAGTCCTGAGGGTCTTTAGTCAGAGCCTGGAGGGGAAGCACGACGATTATATGAGACGAGAAACAGAATAGAATAAACTCAATTTAAATGCAGCCAACATCTACCAGAGCTACAACATGTTTCACTCTTATTGTACATGGGAGTTGTAAGATCCATAATCGATACGTAGATACACACGGTTTGCACACATTCATGTAAATATATCTAACATGTATATATGTTCATTTTAATTCATCATCTCTTATTTCATAGTTTTTTTATCCTTTTAATTGTTATCTTTAATTGTATTGATCTGTGCTCTGTCTTCTCGCAGTTATCACTGGCCCCGTGTATCTCCTAATCGATATAACCGGCCCCGTCTATCCCACGTGCTCCACTGAGATCCAACATCTAGTTTCAGGTGGCCTGTGGAATTGCCAGTCAGCTGTTCCTAAGGCTGACTTCATCTCTGGCTACGCCTCCCTGCAGTCTCTGGATTCCCTTGCTCTCACTGAGACCTGGATTACTCCATCCAACACATCCACCCCAGCAGCTCTCTCCACTGCATATTCCTTCTCCCATACACCCAGACCCACTGGCAGAGGAGGTGGCACTGGTCTCCTGCTCTCTCCCAAATGGAGCTTTTCCCTCTTCAAGCTACCTAACTTCACTCCTTCCACCTTTGAATTCCATGCCGTCACAGTAACCCATCCTATACAGTTAACCATTGTTGTTCTCTACCGTCCACCAGGCGCCTTGGGGGACTTCTTGGAGGAATTAGATAATCTCCTCTCACACATCCCTGAAACTGGCCCTCCCGCTGTACTTCTCGGAGACTTCAACCTCCAGATGGGGAAGATAGACGAACTAACATCTCTGTTAACCGCCTTTGCTTTCTCACTCTCTCCGTCCCCACCGACTCATAAGCTGGCAATGTCCTTGATCTCATATTCTCAAGGAACTGCGCTACTTCTAACCTCTCTGTAAACCCGCTCCACACATCCGATCACTTCTTCATTTCATTCTCTCTATCCCTTTCCAAACATAACAAACTAATCTCTTCTCATCCTGCACCTGTCCGCCGTAACCTTCGCTCCCTCTCCCCCTCTACCTTTGCCTCATCGGTGCTCTCAGCCCTCCCTTCCTCTGACTCGTTCCAACTACTGCCTCCAAACTCTGCTGCAGAAACTCTCCTCTCTACTCTCTCATCCTCTCTGGACTCTCTCGGTCCTCTCACATCTCGGCAGGCTCGTCAGTCCCCTCCGGCTCCCTGGCTAAATGATGCACTGCGTGCTAATAGAACCGTCCTTAGGGCAGCAGAGCGGAAGTGGTGGAAATCCAAACACCGTGACGACCTCCTAACCTATCAAGCTCTCCTCTCCTCTTTAACTGCTTCGATCTCTCAGGCAAAAAGCACTTTCTTTCAAGATAAGATCCAATCTTCCTATTCCAATCCTAAAAAACTATTTTCCATCTTCTCCACCCTCTTGGACCCTCCAAAAGCTCCTCCCCCCTCCTCACTTCTGTCAAGCGACTTTGTTAACCACTTTGAAAAAAAGGTTGATGATATTCGCTCTTCTTTTTCTGACTCCCCTTTACTCACCGCTGGGTCACCAGACCTTCCTTCCACCAACACACTTACCTCCTTTTCCCCTCTCTCTCCAAGTGAGGTTCTTACCCTCATTACCTCTGCCCGCCCTACCACCTGTCCTCTGGACCCTATCCCTTCAAACCTCCTTCAGACTATCGCTCCTGATATTCTACCGTTTCTCACCCATTTCATCAACACTTCTCTAACTTCTGGTCACTTTCCAAACAGTCTCAAGGAGGCAAGAGTAAACCCTCTCCTAAAGAAACCCACTCTCAACCCGTCTGATGTTATAAACTACAGGCCTGTCTCTCTCCTCCCGTTCCTGTCTAAATCACCTAAAACGCGCTGTCTTTAAACAACTCTCCTGTTATCTCCATCAGAACAACCTTCTGGATCCGCACCAGTCTGGTTTCAAGGCAGGTCACTCAACAGCTCACCTCCTTGCTGTCTCTGAGGAACTGCACACTAAGCAGCCTCCCTCTCCTCTGTCATCATCCTGTTGGACCTGTCTGCTGCATTCGACACGGTGAATCATCAGATCCTCCTTCGCACTCTCCAAGAACTTGGAGTTTCAGGCTCTGCACTTTCCCTCCTCACCTCATACCTGAAAGACCGTACCTACAGGGTGACTTGGAGAGGGTCTGAGTCCGACCCTTGTCAATTAACTACAGGGGTCCCTCAGGGCTCTGTTCTTGGTCCCCTCCTCTTCTCCTTGTACACAAACTCGCTCGGATCTGTCATTAGCCCACATGGTTTTTCATACCACTGCTACGCTGACGACACCCAATTAATTCTGTCCTTTCCCCGCTCAGAGACCCAGGTCGTCGCACGCATCTCTGCTTGTCTAGCTGACATCTCTCAGTGGATGTCTGCTCACCACCTCAAGCTCAACCTTGACAAGACTGAGCTGCTCTTCCTTCCGGGAAAAGATTGTCCCACTCTTGACCTAACAATCAACATCGGCACCTCAGTTGTTTCCCCGACTCAGACTGCAAGGAATCTGGGTGTGACCCTAGATAACAACCTGTCCTTCACTGCAAACATCGCTGCTACAACCCGCTGCTGCAGATACACGCTTTACAACATCAGGAAGATACGTCCCCAGCTGACTCAGAAAGCGCCGCAGGTTCTGGCCCAGGCTCTCGTCATCTCACGCCTAGACTACTGCAACTCCCTCCTGGCTGGTCTACCTGCATGTGCCATCCGACCTCTGCAGCTAACCCAGAATGCAGCGGCTCGTCTGGTCTTCAACCTTCCTAAATGTTCCCACACCACTCCGCTCCTCCGCTCCCTCCACTGGCTTCCGGTAACTGCTAGAATCCACTTCAAGACACTGGTACTTGCGTACCGTGCTGCGAATGGATCTGGCCCTTCGTACATCCAGGACATGGTTAAACCGTACACCCCAGCACGTGCACTACGCTCTGCATCAGCCAAACGACTCGCTGCGCCCTCACTGCGAGGGGGACCCAAGTTCCCATCAGCAAAAACACGTGGGTTTGCTATCCTGGCTCCAAGATGGTGGAATGAGCTCCCCATTGACATCAGGACGGCAGATAGCTTGCACATCTTCCGGCGCAGACTGAAAACTCATCTCTTTCGACTCCACTTCGAGCGATAGAACTATTAACAAAGCACTTTTATACTAATAAAGGACTGGCTTATCTAAAGCCAGTTGAGTAGCACTTGAAATGTTTTAGCTCTATGAAGCCTGATGTACTTATATGATTCTGTTTTCTTCAAGTTTGTATCTTGTTGGTCGAACACACTTATTGTAAGTCACTTTGGATAAAAGCGTCAGCTAAATGCAATGTAATGTAATGCTGTCCTGTTTTTCATTCTTACCCCTGCTTGAACTACTGAATTTCCCCACAAGGATTAGCCTGTTTTTCAGGTCTCAGGCTCGAAAATGACATTCCCAGAACAAATGACCATATCTTCTAAAAGGGGTAAATTAATAATCTTTTTTCTCAAAGCAAGGTTAAACCTGTGAGTTGGATGTAGAAAAGTCAGAATCAATATAGATGTTTTTTATTTTAAAGTAAATTCAGATTGAACATAGTAAAAAAATGTAAATGTTAGTGTCCGTCCAAATAAAAACATTACTTATAGTGAAAAGCACCCTTGAATGATGGGATGGTAGACTAAAAGCTTTAGGAATCCAAACTATAATATATAATAAGTACCCTGTATGCAATAAAAGTGACATTTGACCTTTTTAGAGAGGTTTAGAAAAAAGAACCCACTTCTGGGTTCATTTGGGTGCATTTTCCATATCTCTGGCCCCCCTCTGTCGATTTTGATGATTGACATCTCTTTTTGACCGTTAGAGCCAATAGAATCGAGGGGAGGTTCCTAAAATCCAATGAGTGATGCGTAGCCAGAAGTGCATGTGTGACCATTGAAGAGGGTTTCATCCCATTCTATTCTATAAGTTCCAATTGACCAATATCATTAAATAAACACACACAAATGTTAGTGGTAGAAAACTAGGCTCTGTACTGGCAGGTGGCTTTGAAAGCGGTGAAAATATTCGTGCAATTAATATTCGTTTTTTCTAAATCAAGTCTTCCTGCTACCTCGGCCCTCAGAACCTCATAGAACCCCCCCCATTGGACGATCTGAACTATCCCTTTAAAGACTTTTCTATCAAGGTGTGGAAATGTAGACGCTTATAGCCGTGTTTTCACCTTGTTTATCTCGTACTGGTTGAGTGGAACGCTTCCAGCTGCTACTTTCTCTCCCAGCTCCACCAAGTGTTTCTGGATGTTCTCCACAATCACGTCACGACTCTGGTCCGACAGGATTTGACCAATCACGTAGCTGCAAGAACAACAGAGGAGAGGAACACATTTTAAGAAGAGATAAGATAAGATGGAACTTTATTTATCCTCTTGGGGAAATTCAGGCGTTAACAGCAGCAACACGGTTCAAATGAAAAACAGGATTCACGCTTTAAACATAAAGATAAAATAGAAAACAAATTAAAATCATAATACAGCAAAGTGATAAAGTAACTATTGAAACAAGATATTACAGTAAAGAGTTGTGCATTTGTATGAACATGTTAAATATATTTACATAAGTGTGCAGATGAGAGTGCAGGTGTTTTATATTTGATATTGTTGCATCGACTCAGTTGTCTTGTGTCTTACCTGTCAGAGAGAAACCATTATTTATTTTATTTGTATTATCATACCTTTGACCTCCTGGTTACTATCTGTGTTTAATGCATAACAAGTGATTTGTAAAGATCTATGATAAGTCAAAACCCTGTCTCTCACGTACTTTCCACACTCCTTGGCGAGGTCACACCAGTCTCTGCGGACGATATCCAGTCCTTTGAGTTCCTGTTTCACGCTGTATCGTCCCTCGCCGTGGTTCTCCACCACCAGGGCGGCGTATTTCTTCTTCTTCAGCAGCAAAAGAGACTTAAACACGCCGTCAATGTCGATCTCCAGAAGTTTGTAGAGCTTGTTTACCTCGGCTTTCACCTGGATGTAACAAACACATATATGCATTCAGGGAAAACGTCCAAACTTAAAGAAAGGAAATTCTCTTCTGTTCTTACCTTATTTCCAAGTTTGTAGACTTCCTCCAGAGACTTGCTGTTGGTGTTGATCATGATGGAGTCAGTATCTCCGTAGATGACCTCAAGATTCATCTGAGTCACATAAAATAACGAAAGAAAATATATCAGTTTCACATCAAGGCTGGACAATAAAAAAAACTTAAAGTACTTTCTCTATATGTACTTCCACATATATATAGTTGCACTGTATTAAATCAATGACATACATTGAGTTTATTTCAGTTTTTTCCATGACTAGATGTGTAATATATTAACTTAATAACCCACCTTCTGAACCAGGTCTTTGGTGTGCATCAGAATCTGAAAGGGAAACACACAACATAATGAATACAGATAGTAACAACAGCACAGTAAACAAACAAATGAGGAAAAAACTATTATTAAATATGAAGTTCCTAGGTTATATTTTCTGTGTGTGTGTGTGTGTGTGTGTGTGTGTGTGTGTGTGTGTGTGTGTGTGTGTGTGTGTGTGTGTGTGTGTGTGTGTAGAATTGTAGCAGAGCAGGTGACTTGCTTTTTAAATGGGGGATAATTGGCTAAGAGGGCAATTATGAGAGCGTGCTGTGACAGGCGTCTTTTCAACCCCCACACACACCCCAGCCGGGCAACACACACACACACACACACACACACAGAAACACACCTTAATGACTTAATGGCCTTTATCACCAGCAGAGTGAGTGACGGACAAATAGGAGAATTCTGTTAACGAAGTATGTCCACTCTGTGTGTGTGTGTGTGTGTGTGTGTGTGTGTGTGTGTGTGTGTGTGTGTGTGTGTGAGATCTGAGCAGCAGAGGGATCCCAACAGGTGGGGGTCCATAAGAGAGGGAGGGGGGGGGCTCCGGGTGGCTAATCTGGGGGGTCGGAGGGACAGAACGCAGTGTGACCTGTCACCAGCAATCTGCTCCTCAATCAACCGCAGACACATATATACAGACACTCACACACGTCCTGTACTCGGTGTGGGGACAAGGACGTGGCTATTTCAGAGTGCGAGGAACGAGAGGGAGGGGGGGGTTAAACCAAGAGGGGGGAGGGGGTCCACTCCCTGAAACCAGAGTGGGACTTAAGCATGCTTTATGGGCTGCTACATACCGCTGTACGGCAGGGAGGGGGGGGGTCGTTCACAGAACAGCCTCCTCCATTAGGGACTGCAGTCAAGGTCAAGGTCTCACCACACACACACACACACACACACACACACACACACACACCTCTAAATTGTGCTGCTAAGCTTTAATGCAGGCCAAATGACTCGCCTGTCTCCTGATAGCTTACAAATTAAATCTAAAAAGGACGAGTTTAGATTTAGTCGCAGGTGGAGAAATCTACTGAGGTAAAGTTAACATTTTGAGACATTTCAACGAGTATCAATTCAAGTCTGATTAGTACGAAAATATTGATACGCTCCTGAAGAAAAGGAGCCGCCATCAGGTTTCCATTGGTCACATTAATTAGAGCCTATTGAGTTAATTGAGCCTATTAACTAGATAGACATTTTAGGCCTAATTTAAAAATGTGTGATTTCAATGCTTGAGCTTTAAAAGAACTGCTGTAACTCTTTTAACTTCTGTACCTTGTCCCCTAAACTTGTAACAAAGTGAAAATGAGACTTTTGGCCATGATAAAGCAGAAAAAGGAAGCGCTGAAAGAGGAGAGGCTGGAAGGATCAGAGAATAGACAGAAGGAAAGGGCAGAGGAGGGAAGAATAGAGAGATGAGAGAGACAGACGCGGAGGGGTTGGTGTTATGGGGCGAGCGAGGTGTGAATGCGTTGATGTAATTGATGTGCGGACTCATTTAGAAGGTTTTCCATCCGCCGTCAGTCCCGGCCGGAACGAGCCGTGTGAAAGACAAGTCCTTTGACCATGATGCAATTTGTGACAAACTGACGGTGTGTGTGTGTCATCTTCAGACACATACCAACACACACATACTATAGGAAGGAACCAATGCAAACACACAGCCCCAGGGAGGAAGGTTCTCGTGTGTGTGTGTGTGTGTGTGTGTGTGTGTGTGTGTGTGTGTGTGTGTGTGTGTGTGTGTGTGTGTGAGCACCATGCATGCCTCTCGTACTGAAGCCAACAACTGCACAAGCTTCACTCGAATTACTCAACCTGACGCCGTGTCCTTCAGAAATACTACTCTATCATATCAACAAGATTATCAAACAGCGGAACAAACAATCAATACGTTGACAGAAAACGTATTTACAGCCATTTTATTGTTCATTTTACCTTTTTTTTTAGCATAACTTCACTCATTTAAGCTCGACAGATGCCTGTTTCTGACTCTTCTTTGATATCAAATCATTTAATCTTTGGGTTTCCAAGAGTTTGTCGCATAAATACGGAGTTTTGAAAAGCTCTGGAAACTTATGACCGTGGTTTTTCACTATCTGCTGACATGTAACAACCCTAATGAATGAAAATATTTAAGTTCCTGATGTCGTTAAGAAGTCGATTTTCAATCCTTTGGCATCCACAACAAGTCAAAGCAAGTCACTTCTATGTCCTATTTGCCCTATTTCTTTTAACTAATACTTAACATTTAACAAAAACATCAATAACTAAATCAAAACCTCAGTGAATTGTCCATGTTTCTTCTCAGCTCCTCTGTTAATACAGTGTAATGACTGGACACTAGTTGAGCAGCTCACTGATAAGCGCTGTGAAGGATCGAAGCAGGAGTATTGTCTTAACTTCATTTTCAAACACTCGTTATCGCTACCCCAACCTTAATTTTCAAGGTGAGAGCTGAGGTGTCATGTCACATTATTTTGGCTGCAAAAGGTCAAGGCGGGTCAGAGGTCAAATTAGATGGCATGCCTCTTCCTCTGCACACTTAGCACTGTGCAGCGCTATTTACTACTGCTACCTTCATTTCTTAGACAGAAATGAAGGTAAAAACCCAAATCTTGTGAAAAACACATTTTACTCATGCTTGAATATATTAATTGACAAATCTATAAGTCAATATAATACTTGCGCAACATTTTGATAATTGATTAATCATTTAAAGGTGGGGTAGGTACGTTTGAGAAACCGGCTCGAGATACACTTGTTATATTCCATGGAATGCTCTCAACATCCCGATAGCAATGAATATCTGAAGTGCCTTCCATCTGTGCTCAAACTGATCTCGTGCCCTCATTGGTCATGTGCTCGTTCGTGTGTGTTGGAGGAGGGACTCTGTGAGGAAGTGGCAGATTTATTCCGGCTGTGTATTTTCAAATTCTAGCGCACTCGAGCTGGTTTCTCCAAAATTACCTACCGCATCTTTAAGTAATTTTTTATGCAAAAATGGCAAAGAAAACTGTGAAGCTGACCGTTGAGCGGCCCGACCAAGCAAGGAGGCAGAGCGTCCCAAATACAACCCGGTGTGGGCATTTATTGCTCACGTGACACAGCCTCAATCTCGCTGGTCACGTGAGCACAGTCACAAGGATCTCACACACCAAACAAAACAGGAAACACAGAGCCTAAATACCCACACTAATCAACCCAACAGGACACAGGTGAGGGGGGAGGAGACAACACAGGGCACCAGGTGCACACAATCAACAGCAACAGACATGGGGAAAGGGAACACTTTTCAAAATAAAACACATGTGCAATATACAAAGCCCGAAGCCGTCAGTCCACAGTGACGAAGCCATCTTCGTCACAAAAACATTTGGAGATTTCATGCTCTTCCACCTCCTCGCTAAAAGAAGATATTTAAAGACTGGAAGTTGGGAGTTTAGGATGAATATTTTTAGCTAGTTTCTGATATTTTATCAAGCAAAAAAGTAAGAAAAGACTTGCTGGATTCAGAAAAAATGAAAACACGTCGTTGAAATAGTCGTATGACCAACTTCAGACTCTCTAAACTATATGAAAATAATAATAAGATTTGCAGTCTTACTAATTAAGACACATTCAAATCCTCTTTAGATAAACCTGCATGCCGCAGCTTCATTACTCTGCAGAAACATGTTGGACAGAGCTCCAGCTGAGTGCAGAGTTCCTGCAGTACTTCAACACTCTCACAGCTCACAGGTGACATTTTCACTTTGTCCTCCCCATTTTTAAAAAACATAATTTACCCAACAGTCTGCCGTGAGACTCCAGGGCGTCTGACCCTGCCAATGCTGCTAAAAGATGTAGTTAAGTGGTGCGACCGTACAGTGTAACACTCAAAGCTGCCAGGAAGTGAACGAGGGAGACAACTACAGGAGCACAGGTCCAAAAGAAATGACAAACCCCGACTTCTGCAGCTGGACGAAGCCGAAAGCTGGGTTTCTGAACAGATATCGAGTCGAAAAACTGTCATACAATGGAGGTTTAACACAAATACAACTACACTTTTAAATAGCCGATTGTAGAATCTGCACTTCACAGTTTCTGGCTCTACTTCTCACAGCTTGAAGTCCAATTTAATGCAGTGCTTTTAACAATGCCTCATGTCTTTGCATTTCATTCGAAAAGGTGCTATTGTCATTCGCACAATAGCTAATAGTTGTTAGCAATTAAAAGCTTCAATTAAAAGTCCCAGGCTCTTCCAACAGAGCAACATACATTGTACTAAAGTCATTAAATAGTGCAAGTGACACAATGCTGCAGGTATTAAAAGCAGGAATAAGTAGACTATGAATGTTAAATAGAACAGGATGTACAATTAAATACTGTACAGGGAATAAAATACTAATTATTGTTATAATATATACATTTGTGAACTGCAAGAGCTTCGGATTTTAACCCATTATTGCTAGCTGTCATGCTAATTTGGGATTTAAAGCATAGAATAAAGCATGTTTTGTTTTACTTATAATACCTGGAAAAGAATGTGATTGTAATTTGAGCAAAGTACATGTATGGACAAAGCAAATCAATAATAAAAAAGTTTTAAAAAACAAGGAAAAGTGACAGATAACTCGATAACACTTTTAATACCTCACTGTTAAATCTGCTCTTCCCAATTGAGCTTCCAATCCCCTTAATGTAGTGCTTTAAACTCACTAGTATCATGTCTTTGCATGTGCGTCACATTACCGTGTGATCCTGCACGAAGCCATGCTAATTGATGAGAGGTTCAGCCTCGTTGTGATATCTGGATTTTCCTCAGCTGTTGTTCAGCTATCTGCTAGCCTTATTTACGAGGGATTTAGATGTCATGTGTTTCGTCAGGCGGTAACTTTAAATAACAATACGAGTCCTGTTTGACCTGCATTGGACGAGTGACAAATGGGTTATAGATTGAAAGGGAAGCAATAAAAGATAATACAGAGATGCACAATAAAGCTAATACCCCTTCACAC